GGAAGGAAGGAAGGGTGGAAGGAAGGAAGGGTGGAAGGAAGGGTGGAAGGAAGGGTGGAAGGTAGGGAGGAAGGTAGGAAGGTAGGAAGGTAGGAAGGTAGGAAGGTAGGAAGGTAGGAAGGTAGGAAGGTAGGAAGGTAGGAAGGTGGAAGTGCAAGACTCAACACAAGTTGCCACACAGTGTTCGTCAATAGAGTCAGCGGAGCAGTCCGCCTTGGCCTCATTTCCTCTTCTCAACCGTCTGCAGTCCCACAGGGAAATACAAAAAGTGATCAAAGCCTCAAGTACATGCCCAATCGTGTCTTCACTATTGGTTTCGCTGAATCATTAGTAAGTAGAATCATCGTACTCTAAGGGTACTATGCAAATCTAACCATCCTGCGCTGAATAGTAGTATGCTACCGAAGTTGACGGGAGGTGGGGAGGAAAATTTGATCTTTCAGGAAAGTGGGCTTTCCTCATTTTCTCGAGGTAGAAAGGAGCAAAAATGCGAATCGCAACAATTCCGAGATCCTGCGTGAAGAAAAAGCTGAGATTCACATCATCTCACTGTATTTCTATCATGATATTTGTTCTAATGATGTGACATTACGTAAAAGTACAACTCAATCCGGTATATAAAGAATGTTTTGCGTTAATATTTGCTCGTATCGTTACTGTGAAGACTGTCTTGTTTCTTCATCGTTCTTCTGTTCTACTTCTTGTGATGCTTCTGATGATTGGGTGCTTGCTGCTGATGCACTTGCTTGTGAACGTTCCTTCCTGCGTTCTAACCAAGCCCAGAATGGAATTGTTGCAAAAAGGACCACCAACCACGCCAAAAGGATACCCATGTTTTTCAATAATTCGATATGACGACCAGTATTATAAATGATTGTGACGTATGCTTGACGAAGATTATAGAATGGCATTGCATAGCCGTATTTGAAAAGGCTCACTTGCAATTCGATTGGTAAATTTGCTACGCTCACATTGATGATGATGATGAAAACCAATGCAAAACCAATGAACTGTGGACCGACGAGGGATAGAGCTGCTTCCGTCCATAAACCCAAAACGCACATACCCAAAAAGGTAAAGCACCACCAGATCATAAATCCTGCTCCGTATCCGTATCCCATACCTCCAAAACTAAGCTTGAATGGCAGATTGATCATCGAAAACATACAGCTCAAAACAAAATAAGCCGGAATAGGGACGAGCAAACGCATCAGAACGAAAGATCGGAAACGCAGTTTGCGTTGTATACCTTGACGCATACCAAAGTTTCCCATTGTGATGTTGAAAGCCAAGATCATTGCATAAATGAGACCGACAAATGTTGGTGCAATACTCACGGGTTCATTCCAGGGTCTTAAATTGATGTAGGAGGGTGCAATTCCACCCGCCAAGGTTTGCGGAGCATCTGATGCAATTGCGCTCAATACGTTCGAATTGCCTGAATTTGCAGAGAGCCATCTTGCTGCACTTTGAGCATTGATTTGTGCAAGGGAAGGGGTTAGGACACCTCTGACCGATCCTAGAATGGGACCATCAACGGCTTGTTGATTTCTTGCTTCCGAGTAATAAATTTGAACAACCTCTGTTGGGTTCCAGCTAGCGTTTGCTGATGTACGTGCTTGATCGAGAGCGGAGGTAGCGTCTGTCAAAATGTCAACGAAGATCCATCCAACATGATCGACGGCAACCGCTTTCTCAACATCTGCCTTGGTGGGATATAGATTAGGATCGATTGAATGCCATGATAGATGAGGAGGAGGATTTGAATTGGTAGATAGTAGTACGTTTGTGATATTTTGTCCGATAGCTCCGTTTGGATCTCTATTGAGAATGTATGCGTGAATGTTTGGGGTTTTATCGCTGGATTTCCATAGGGAGCCCCAATAAATGGTTACGATTGCCCAAATCAATATACAAATTGCAATTGTTACTCGTGCGATTCCGATCAAGTATGCCTTACGAAGTGGAGCCAATTCGGCATCCCAAAAGCCGTGAGAATACATTCCTCCGTTCGAGGGAGCATCTTGTTGATGAGCAGATTGCTTCTCCACATCACTTGTCGATTCTGCGTGTGTGATTTGACGTTGACGCTCACTATCAACAGTAGAGAATTCGGGCATGTTGAAGAGCGGAAAAAGAGGGAGATGGTAGGGATGATGAAAGGTTTTCGTTTTGAGAAGGTAAAAGGGGAACTTTATATATGACATACATACAAGACCGTGATTGCTTGGCGTTTATTCCATTCATACATCATGTCAAAACCCAAAAGCCGCATTAAAAAAGGCGTTTCACACAGGCGTAGTACCGCTTCCTTATCGCCGAATAAGGAAAGAAATAAGAAATAATAGAGGCTTATTACTGTCCCCGCGGGTTAGTGCGCGATCATAAAAGAACACACATTGAGTTTTACATGTGTTCCGCGTATCCGAGTTACCCGCGCAGCGCGTTGTGCGACGGGAGACGGGGATAAAAGGTTTCCCTTGCAGTGATACATCCGAACCGTGGACTTATTAAACCCGCTTATCTATCCCAGTTTGATGTGATTACGTAATAGTCATAATCGATAGCTAATTCTTACATCCACTTATTATTCATATATTTTTCCCAAAAACATTCCAGAAAAACCATCATGGGTCAGGGGAGAATCATATCGCCGGTAAAATTCAGTAGTCAGGGGAACCCACTTCACACTGAGATGTACCATACCAGTGCCATACCTTAATTGACGTCAGTGAAAGCCAGAGGTCAGTGAAACCTACCCGAGAAATACTATGCCAGTGAAACTTTTGTGAGAAGGGTCATACCTATGGACCAAACCATCATGCGTTGAGAAATACCATACCGTCAATCCAAGTCAGTGGTCAGTGTAGCCAGTACAACTGCCTGCCTTCATCATTGAGATGTTTCCGATGGCTTTGTACTTGCTACTGATGTTCACTGTAGCCGACCAATGCTATCCCCTCATGGTTCATAATAGTAGACGATTGTATTCTCGATTGTATTGTAATCAATGTCTATTGTGTCAAAATAAAAGTACAAATTGTATACAGGATGAAATTGCCTAAGTCATTGCGGATCGCATGAGAATCATCTCTAATGCTCCTCGAACTTGGGTTAATTGTTTTTGAACGTCAATCTCCTCTGAGATCTTTGACCAAATTTTACCGAATAACTCATCGATAACGGGAGATTGACCTAGAACGGGAGCATAGACATCCATGATAACGTCCATACAATCACACACAATTGGTGTCCAACGTGCATTTGCAGAATGACGCAAAAAGAATCGCAAAAGAGGTTCGAGTGTGACATCATCCCTTCCCGATATTGCTCGTCTGAGGCCATCCAAGATGATATTTCCGTTTGCATCTATTGTGCTCCTGTTACGTAATTCATCCAAAACGGCAAAAGTTACATCTGTACGAACGCCTTTTCGTAAAACTTCATCCAAAGCATCTCGATAGCGAAAAGCTTTCAATAATTTATCGTGTGTACGCAACTTTTGACGTTCTTTTTGAACCTTTGATTGCTTGGCTTCCTTCTTTGATGGAATTAATCCATCCTCGTCTTTCAAGTCATGATTGATATTGTTGTCGAGTAAATCTGAAGAAGGTACTGATGCTGGATTTTGAGTGCTTCCAGATGGTAAAAAGTATTGCAGCGTTTGACCATTTTGAGCTGCTAGTCGACGATGTTGGGATTCTGCTGCTGCTAAATTTCGTTTACGGATACATAGCGTACCATCAGCCATACCCGTCACTATTTGCGATTCATCTGGACTGATACCCATACAAAGAATAGGCGCAGAATATCGCATTGTATGAACGACTTTGTATTCCTTTTCCGGATCGTATACTTTCACAAGTTGATCAAGACCGGCCGTTAAAACTCGAATTCCACCTAATCCTGTTTCTGCGCTGGCTTCTGCCCCACTTGTCATACTGATGGCCAAAGAAGTGATTGTTTTGCTATGATTCGAAACAGCATGTCTACATTTGCCTCCCATCATCAGATCCCATGATCGCAAAATTGGTCCACCGGCGCTAAGAGCAGCACCACCACCACCCGTTGGAAAGATCAAAACATCTTCTACCGGTGCACCATGATGCATGGTTATCGCACAACCGCCATTTTCGGCCATTCTCGCATCCCATAAGCGAACTGTGCTATCGTACGATCCTGAAAGGAGCAAATTTGCATTATCGGGAGAAACCAATACGCTACGAACATAATCTTGATGGTTTGTAAAGATTCTTTGCTCTTTCTCTTCAGGCATATCCCACAACCGTACCGTTCGATCATCAGACGCACTTGCAATCTTTGTTGGATCACAAGAAAATTTAACAGAATGAACGGGTAATTCGTGACCTTTCAATTGTCTAAGGACGGATTTAGACTGTGCGTCAAAGACTTGTACAAGTCCAGAATCATCACCTGCTACGAGCAATTTTCCATCAGAACGAAAAGTACCACTCCTTGCAACATCTTTAAAACGACTAAAGACTTTTGTTGCCTTGACAGTACGCATATTGAAAACTTGAACCCGCGTTGCAGAAGTGACGGAAAACTTTTGCTTCGAAGCAAGGGAAGCAAGATCATTGTTCGAGCTTGAAGGAATGCCAGTCGTTGGTACAAAATTGATTGCATTTATAGGTGCGAATTCTTTGATAAAGATTGGTGAGCTAAATTGTTGCCAATACCGTGCTTCAGGATTGGACTGAAAGGTTTGAGGCTGCAAAGATGCAAATGTGCCGGTCTTACGGAATTCCATTTTGACGATATGAATGATTTCTTTCGTTTATTCGTTTGTTCTTTTTTGCATCATTACAGCTTCAATCTGGTACGATCCCCCAACAAGGATGATTGGAAGTTTAATGATGTAGAGAGACATTTAGAATTATTTTATGCAAGTTGAATTTTTATTCGTCACGTGTTTTTCAGATTGCCTTTTGTTCCGATTTCCATCTTCTATGCATAGCCATATGCAAATGCTTTTTCCGATTCATGCTTGTGGCTTCAGTAGAAGATTGTGGGGAATTGCCGGGAAAGCCGGTTGAGGTTGTATGCATATAGTCAACCACTTTTCCCCTCCTTCTATCATCTATCACATCCCAAAAGATGACTGTGGACAAGTTACTCACTTGGTGGGAACCAAGTCAAGAAATCATCGAAAGTTCCAATTTGAATAAATTCCGTAAAATTCTCAATGCAACTTACAAGATCGATTTACAAACATACGAAGATATTCATGCATTTTCCGTTGACAATCTTGAACAATTTTGGTCAACTTTTTGGCAATGGAGTGGATTGCGGGTACATAAAAAATACACAAACGTTCTCACACCTGCCAATGCATTACCCGAACAAGTGCCAAAATTTTTTCAAGATGCAAAGTTAAACTTGGCCGAAAATATCTTATTTCCACTTCATCCTAAAAATTCAACAGCATGCATGCCAAATCCGCCAAAAGGTTGGCCTCACGATAAACAAGTTGCCATTTATGAATGGGGAGAATCATTACCGGAAGAAGCAGCAAACGGACAAGGTGCAAAACAATGGGGAGAAGTGACTTGGGGAGAAATGCGAAGGAGGGTAGCAATCTTGTCGGAAACGTTTCGCAAAAAAGGTTTGAAAGCGGGTGATCGTGTCGCTCATATCTCTGCCAATTCTGCTAATCCAATCGTTACATTTTTGGCATGCTTGAGTATCGGTTGCATCTTCAGCGCTTTGCCAACAGATGCAGGAGCTCAGGCAATATATGGAAGATTGGCACAAGTGCAACCCAGATTAATCTTGACAGATGATGTAGCATTTTACAATGGGAAAAAAGTCAACGTGATCGATAGAGTAGCACAGGTTACGGACGATTTGATCAAAAATAAGAAAACAGCCGGACAAACGATAGAAGTGGTTTGCATCATCAATCAACGTGAAGGAGGAAGAGTAAATGAAACAATAGAGTGGAATGGTAAAAGCGTTTCATGTTCTTCTTTTCCTCAATTCGTCGCCTCTGCCGGGCTGAAGTATGATGCAAAAGATGATGAAATACCAAAATTGCACTTCGAAGCTTTACCTTTCAACCATCCCGCTTTAATCGTCTTTTCAAGTGGAACGACTGGCGAGCCTAAATCGATTTGCCATTCTTCTGGCGGAATTTTGATAAATGGTAAAAAGGAAGGTCTATTTCAATACGAAATGAAAGGAACAGAAGATACATTCTTTCAAATAACGACATGCGGTTGGATTATGTGGCTAGCACAAACGTGTAAATTGCTCATGGGATCATCTATAATCACCTATGACGGAAGTCCCTTATTCCCACACGCATTCGTCGTTCCAAAAATCATTCACGAACACGGAAAAGTGACAGGATACGGAGGAAGTCCTCGCCTGTTGAGTGAAATCGAAAGAGCATGTAAATCGCAAGGAATTGAAAGATTACGGGATCGATTTCCTATGAAAAACTTACGATTTGCAACTAGTACAGGATCTCCTCTGAATCCGGCAAACGTTCAGTTCTTTTATCAAAGTCTTGCATTTCCACATACACAACTAATCTCAATTTCTGGAGGAACAGATTTAGCGGGTTGTTTAGTAGGAAGTTCTTGCATGGTTCCCGTTAAAGGTCATTTGATCGGCACAAAATCTCTCGGTATGGATATTCGAATCGTGGATCCCTTGACTGGGGAAGATTGTGAAGATTCAGGCGAGCCAGGAGAATTGGTCGTCGCAAAACCGTTCCCAACCCAGCCTCTATACTTTTGGGGCGATGAAAAAGACAAAGAAGCTTTGCACGAGAAGTATATGGACTCTTACTATCGCAGGTTCGAATCTGGTCCAGCAAAAGGATGGTGGGCACAAGGTGATTTTATCTCTAAAAACGTTCAATCGAAAGCGTTTGAAATTCATGGCCGATCAGATGGTGTTTTGAATCCATCTGGAGTACGATTTGGAAGTGCTGAAATTTACAGTGTTGTTGAATCAGGAAAATTCCCTTTTGTGCTCGATTCGATTGTGGTTGGACAAAGGAGACAAAACAAAGATGATGATGAACGTGTGATCCTATTCATCAAATGCAGACAAGGTCAATCATTAGACGAAGCGAAAAAGCAAGAAATAGGCAAAGCCATCAAAGAAGCCTTTTCTGCCCGGCATGTACCAAAGTACATTTTCCAGGTAAAGGACATTCCAATCACCGCAAATGGCAAAAAGACGGAATTAGCAGTCAAAGCAATCGTCAGCGGCAATACAAAGTTTAAACCTAGTTCAGCAATCGCCAATCCAGAGGCTCTAGACGAATATAGACAATATGCAAATATCGAATCAGTCGTTTCTCATTCAAGGTCATCAAGATTATAAGCTATTCATAAAATCATGGGTATATTGCGATTTGTATAATCATATCATACACTATCCTTCTTTCTTCCAATGAGATTGCGAATTGGCCTTCCACTCGGCTAAGCCTGCGTGTGTACCATCATAAATCTCCTTTTTCCAAATGGGCACTTGCCGTTTAACCTCTTCCAAGATTTCCTCACATAGTTCAAAAGCTGCTTTACGATGGGCACTGGAAACGCACACCAAAATGGAAGCCTCTCCCGCTCGAACGTCTCCTAGCCTATGAGCCAGATAGACTCTTTTGATTTCGTTGGATACACTTTGCTGCTGTATTTCATGGCCTGTATCTTTAGACTTTGTATACTTTTCACGTCCATCTTTGATCAACTTTTGCATTAGTTTACGAGCAAGGGAAGAATAAGCGGTATATTCTAATCGTTGAACAGATTTGCCTTGAAATTCGTTTCGTGTAGTTCCAACAAATAAGACACTAGCACCTGCACCATGATCGTTTACATGCTTCAATGCCAACTTTTCATCCAATTCGTCATACGTTAATTGTATTCGATCTCCAAATTCAATTATTTCATCAAATTCTTCATCCCTGTGTTCTGTTGTTGTTTCTACACCTGTAACCGTTTCCCATACATTTGCTTTCACTTTTGATAATATGGCTGACATTGTAGATGCAGAAAAGGGATGTGTACAAGGTGAATAATGATGACGATGATGATGATACAGAAGCAAAGCGTGATGGCGTGGTTGTATGCGGGGAATTCTTTCACGCGTACACATGCAAAGCTTAAATTGACAGTGTACCTGGATCGGGAATATTAAGGGATTGACGTTTGAGCAACCGGCTTTGTATTACCGTTGATGAGAAAGGAGGACGATCAATTAACCGCTTCTTATTGACCAATTGGTGGCTGTTGTGGCTCAAGATGTGCGGTGTCACTTTGTTGCTGAGAATCGGTTGCATTTTGAGCTGTCGATTGACGTTTTTGCCTAAATCCCTTTTCTGGACCCATTCTAGATCGACCTAATTTTATCTTTGCATTCTTGAAGATCCTTCTCGCATTCGTTTGGCTGATTTCACTATTACCTTGATCATGATATTCCTTTAATACTTTTTCCAAATTCCATTGGCGATTCGTACGTCCGATTTCTATCAATGCATTCCTTTCCAATTCACCAGTGACAGAAGGTCTTCCTTTTCTAGGTCTATTTTCTACGCTTCCCGTCTTTTGAAATCTGGCAATCAGTCTACTTACAGATGAACAAGATACGCCAGTTTGTTTTGCGATTTGATTAAACGATTGACCTGCCTGAAACCGTCCAACGATTCGATTTCTTTCTTGTATCGTTGTTTCACCGAAACTTCTATCAGGTCTACGTTGAGTGGTATCATGACTTCCACTTGATGACGGGGTAGGGTTTATGTCCGGCATAGAGGGTCTTTAGTTGAGAGAAATGAAGATCAGGTAAAGTCAGAGAAATGCTGTTTTTCCTTCATCCTTTGCTAGACAATTGACAATTTCTATTGCAAGCTTATATGCTTATACGCGCATCTTTCGTGTTGGCGTAATGCAAAAGTGACGCATAAGGCTTTTGTGTCACACGTGAACTCATCTTGCGAAAAACCAATCTTCCGAGGGGATTTTTGAATTGACTTCAAGGTTGCTTCATCACAACCTTACAGCATTCTCAATCGAAAATGATTGGCAAAAGGCAGGAGATAAACGTACTTTGTGCTCACTTTCGAGCCACAAAAGCAAGGCACATACACTCTACCGGTATAATAGCATCTCGAACAAACTCATCAGCAGAATCAAGCTCTGCCTCCTCCACCCCGAAAAGGTCATCAAAGAATCGTTCGGACATTCTCGATCCTGAAACAGTAGATCTTGTAGGTCCGCCTGATTCAATATCCAATATTCGTCCGATGGTCTATGCCCCCAGCAAATCTTTTGATCGTAGAAGAAACAAGTCTCCTTCTACGTCTGCCAACGTTACCCAACAACCACATCCCTATTCTCCTAATGAATTCCATCAAACGGCTAGCAGCACTTTCTCAACCTCTCAACAAAAACCAAAAGGACTTGGTATGTTCCGTTTATATCGCGAATATGTTGATCATGTATGCGATCGTGTAGAAGAGGTGGACATGAAATTGAGATTGAGCAAATTGACCACAGATTCAACCACTCAACGATTTTGGAGGGATAACAATACTCGTTTTAGTCGTGATATGCAAGCTTGGGCACAAAATAACAATAATGATCAAGATGTGAGAAACTTAAGCAATTCCATAAAGGAGTCTTCTGGAAATAATGCTTTGGTCAAAGCACCAAAAATCGAAGAAAATCTGATCACTGCACCTTCAAGTGAATCAGACTTTTATGCTACTTGGCTCAAAGCCAATGCTAAAAGGAATAAAGCATACAACGTTCTGGTTTGGAAACAGGCTTTCGATCAAGTCAGACTAGGTGCACAAGTAAGCATTTGGACGTATTGGCTAAAGGTTCTACGTAAGTTAGAAGGGTAAGGGATTATGAGCGATTGTATGAGTATCTTAAGGAAATAATGAATGATCTATATGCATCTCCCTTATTCTTCTTGTTCAAACGTCAAAGGACGGAATGCGTATCCTGTTGCCATGTAATGTTTAGAGCATCCTTCAACCCAATGCAAACGTAATGCATGCAAGAATGCACTCAATCCTTCCATCAAAACCAAAACGGCAATACTGAGTGAAATCCAAACAGCAAAGCCAAGAACGGCGGCAATCACCCCTGTGATACCTCCAATTCCAAAAACATTGTTGATCGTCATCGTCCATGCAACTTCGCTTAATTGAGCATGGGCTAAACTTAATGCCCACAGACGAAGATAACTGGCAGTTTGAGAGATTGTACCCAAAACGAATTCAATCGTTTCGATTACTTGATGAATGATCACTTCACCCAAAACGAATTCTCCGTGTTCATCATCTCCTCCATGTGCATTTCCGTTTCCTTGACCGTGATTACTACTTTGTTGAACGGTATGCCCTTCGCCTTCATCTTCATCCTCTTCATCGCGGTAGAGGTCAGGACGTTCAGCGCCTTCGTTGCCTACAGCATGATAACCTTGACCTTGACGTTGTTGGTGTTCTTTGTATTCGGCGTACGGTTTGACGGCCAACATCCATGGAATACACACAAATGCGATCAGTAAAAGTAAGGATTGTACTAAACCTTGCAGTGGGAACAACTCTTGACCTTTTTCAACCTGTCCTGGTTTAAGGAACATATAGATAAGCATGTTGAGCAGTCCTGGTGGATTATTGCGGAAGACTGTTCCATTTGCATCAGTTTCGTACCAATCGATGCTCCACTTGTAAATGATAGTGAATACCAAGTAACCAAAGATTGATTGCAAAAAGATCATCTTGGGTAAGAATTCACCAAAGAACATCACCGGCTTCTTAAAGTGAATTGAATTGGGGATCACCAAGCACAAGGAGAAAGACATGTGCAATACTCCCAAAATGACAGACATTTTCATCTTGAGCGAGTTTGTAAAGAGCAGTTGATTGTTCGCTCCATGCCACAATGGGTCCAAACCGATTGGATAAACACCTCCGTTGGAAATCGCCTTTAGGTCTTTGCTATTTGAATCTTTCGGCCAATCCCATCCGGATTTGAAAAGGTGCATAGACTTTGAAAAGATGTCGTTGTACATCAGACCGGTAAAAATGGAAAACATTCCCATCATTAGAATGATGTAACGACCGTAAAAGAACATTCCCGTGATCTCGTCCAAGCCCTTAGCCAGCTTTTTCTCGTACATGATCATGGCCAAAGCAGACAAGAACATGATAAAGCCGTGACCGATATCACCAAACATGACAGCGAACAAGAAAGGGAACGTGATGACAGTGAAAAGACCGGGATTGACTTCTTGATAAGTAGCGACTCCGTATGCGTCGATCAGGGATTGGAAGCCGCTTGAGAATTTGTTTGTTAGATGATAAGTTGGTGGCTTTTCACTCGTCTTCAAAACTTGCAAAACAGCTGAAACAGAAGTACCAGATTGTTCGGTAGCACGTTCTAAAGCAAGGTGAATCGACCCCAGACCAGAAGTCGGGCACCATCCTTCTGCAATAAGAGTTTTACGATTAGGATCGTAATTAAACAAATTCATCGTGCCGAAGATGAGCTTCTCCTTCCTTGTTACATCAGACCATGCGCTCAAAGTTTCAGCAACTTTCACCAATTCTGTTCTACGGGTAGCGCTGGTAGAGTATAGGACATTGTTAAGATCTTCGATGCGATCCGTGACCTCACGTAAGCTTTCTTCTCGCTTATCAGCGTTGCTATCGATCGGGTAGAGTGTGCCACCCATACTCTCGCTAATCTTGCGAATCTTGGTCAAAAGTTCATTACCATGAGCAAAGATGATAAAGACGTTCTTACGGATTGGTTCTTCCTTTGTAGGATCATTGAATGGTTCTTCGATTTCTGCATAGTTCATGTACAGATTGCCTCGTAGAACACGCCAAAGGATACGTTCAAATGTTGCCATTCGGGTTCGATCAATTGTTCCGGCGACGAATTCGAGATCGATTGTTCCATAGCTTCCGCCTTCTTCTCTTTGTGAACTCAAACCACGAGCTTCAACGTCGTCCAATAATGGTGCATTGGCATCATCTTCGAAGGAAGATCGTGTTGCTTCATGCCTTCCTTCTGCTTGTTCGAAAAATACGGCAGTTTCGCGTAATACATGTCGGGCTTCTTCCAGCTCCAATAAGCGTTTTTGCAGTTGATCATAACTGTCATTCATTTGTGCTAAGCGTTCTTCGTGTTCACGAAGTCTAACAGAAAGATCTTCGATCAATTGTGGACCACGTTGATTATCTTGATTGGATAAATTGACAAAAGGCAAAGCGGATTCCAAAGGTCGAACAGGGACGGATTCTTTCTCCATTTGATTATACAAGAATCGAATTCTGCGTTCCATTTCATCAATTCTACGAATGTCAGAAACGAAAGAACGTTGAAATGGTGTCACATCCGGATTTAAATCTTTGAATTGAACGTTTCCCAATTGACCCAATTCGGTTACGGTTGCATGTGCCACTTCGGAAGGAATGAAAAGTTGAATTAAGCTCATTTCTGCAGAGCGAAACAAGCTCTCATTTCCTTGAACGTCATGACCGCTCATGATGGTCAACTTTCGATCGCTCTTCTACCCTGAGCGAGATGAGCGAAGATGTGTAAGAAAGGGTATGATAGTACAGAAGCAGATGTTGGTCTTCCATTCAAGCCAAAAAGGTGCGTGCGCCGAGCCAATTGGTGTTATAGCGTAAGCCTACAACGCAACCCCTGTGAGCACGCACCACAGGCATTGTGACACGTGATATACTTTTTGTTTTTCTTTTCCTTTGGCATGTTCTCTACTGTCATCATCACGATCACCATCACATCGATACCTGTCGCTTCTTTTGGCAAAGAATCGAAATGCCGTAAGTATATTGATAAGAACGATTATGGAGAACTCATTCTAACGTGAGCTTGAATTATGTACAGTCTTTACGAATTATTTTGCATAGCAGCTTGTTCGAGCGAATCAGTAAGTTAAAAGAAAGGATTGACTTTTGCAAGAAGCTGTTAGATTGACATACCATCCTTTTCACTCTAGGCTCCTTTACGTGACTTGATTCGCACAACCTCAAGACTAGTGATCGATAACGGAGGCGCAGTCCGCGGAACGCAATATTGGGGCCCTAGAAGATTACCACAAAGAGCAAGAAGACATCAACAATGGCATACAGAAGGTGATCATTTCTTAATGCAATTCGATACAAATCCAAGAGTGCTAAATACACTCTCATCACGTCTACGAAGTGATCCTCGTGTGGTAAAGTGGACAACGCTCAAATTAGGCGAACGATTAGAACAAATCACACCTAGAATCATTCATGGCGATAGTAGTTTGCAAAGTATGTCTCATCCTCTTCACATGGGAGGTGGATTATCGGTAGAGATGCGAAACAAACAAGCATGATAATCTACACCATTATTCGACCAATGTATTATAGACGATCTGATCATCAGAAATAAATAGTATACAAAACTATACATATAGCTAAAGAGAGGACCTCAACTACGCTTTCGCTTTGAGCTTTGCTTGGGCTGTTGTATATCTTCATGCAAGGTGGCCTTCTGTAAGCCAATCAAGCTCCCGTGTTGTCGATTGTCCAAAAGACTATCAACGAAGTCACGATCGCCACTCGTGATATATTTCGCGCTGATTCCTCGAGCTCGTAACGGTGTTTTAATCAATTGCGTCAACCGCGAACGTAAAGCATGAACGGATTTGGTTTCATCCTTCTTCTTGTCTCGTGAACGATCTTGCTCCTCTTCACTCAAATCCATCTCTGCTTCTTCCGCCAATTTGCGTAACCAAGCATCATCGTGAGAAGCTTTCTTTTGCGTGTGAGTTGCTTGATCGATCTGTTTTGCCAATGCGATCCGCTCTTTCAAAGCTGAAAGAAAGGTATATTCGATCGGCATGGAAGCCAAATCATCCTTGCGTTGCAAATTCTTACACAAATCATGCCAAACACGTTTTTCGCTCGGTTCAATCAATGCTAATGAAACACCTTCTTTCCCACCTCTTGCTGTTCTACCACTTCTGTGAACGTATGTATCAGCCGTACGCGGAATTTGAAAGTGTACAACGTGATCTACAGCAGGAATGTCTAAACCTCTTGCTGCTACATCTGTTGCCAACAACACTGCACTTCCACCGATTGATGGTTGCTTGTTGGAGCGAAAACGATCCATGTTCTTTAAACGCTGTTTTTGTTGCAATTGACTGTGTAAAGGTTGAACAGAAATTTGTAAATTCTCCAGCAAAGGCTGCAAACGTCGTATTCCGTCGATGGCATTCACGAATACCAACGTCCTTCCGGGATAACGAAGTAAGAAATAATACAGAAAGAGATCTTTATCTTTCGTCAAACATTCTGCTTTGACTTCCATAACATTACTGGCAATTCTTGTTGATGTACTTTGATCGATCATAAAAGGTTCATCATCCCTGAAATCTATCGCTTCCAATAATTCTTCCACTGTAGATGCATTTTGCCCCTTGCGTTTTCTTTTCACCCGGTTTGCCCTTTTCAGATTATGTTGCAATTCTTTTGATAAGGTAGCAGAGAAGATAAATGTTTGCATATCATGGGCCCCACCAAGAATACGTGCTAATGGAATTCCCTCCTGATCATTGTCATGTCCATCTTGACCATCTCCCATTCTCTGTACCAGTGCGAATATGTGTTGCATTTCTGCAAAATGACCAGTTTCGATCATCCGATCTGCTTCATCAACTACTAGAAATCGAGTTGTTTTAATCCTCCTTGCCAGAGCATCATCACCACGACACAATTCCCAAAGTCGACCAGGCGTGGCAACAATTATATCGACTCCCCTTCCACGATGGCCTTGTAACATTCTGCGTTGTTTATCTTCGCTCATTCCACCTGTAATTGTCGCTATACTTGCCCATCTTTTATTCTCGCTGCTGGAAGAATCAACGATTGCGCTGAGATGCTTTGATACTTGTAGGGCTAATTCTCTTGTTGGCGTGAGTATCAATGCAGCTAATCTACTGGCAATCTCTTCTTCTGGCACACCATTCAGTAAACGCATTTGTCGATCTTCGACAGAATGGGAAGCGATCCAATGTAGAATTGGTAGCCCATATGCTAACGTCTTTCCGCTTCCTGTTTGGGCTACACCGATGATGTCCCGATTGTTATCTGCGATGTTGGTGTTTCCCGCGATAGAGATTGGTAAAGTTGCTTCTTGTATTTTTGTCGGCCTCTCAAACTTGAGAGTATGTAATGATTGATAGATGAGAGGATGCAGTCGTGCTCTTAGCTTGTTCCAGGCAGGAAGCTTTTTACTCGTGTCATTCTTTGTCCATTTGACATTATTTGACTTTTCACCTTCAAACTCTTTGGCAAGTAAGGCAAAATCGGCATTCGTCTCTTCATGCTCCGAACTTTGTTGATCAACTCCTTCTTCAGTATCATCGGTAATGTCATCATTGTCATCTTCAAACGTTGTATGTGGCAGATCTACTTCGATTGGTTGTGAAAAAGAATTCGAAGGGTCTTGTTGAACTTTTTGCTTTTTATTCTTGTTTTGAAGTGGCTCTTCATCTTTCCCACTTTTCGGTTCCGTCGCTTTCCCTTTGCCTTTTGGTACGCTATCTTTATCCACAACAAATTTTAAGATTCCATCTTTATCCCGAACTACTTCAACACCTTCTACTTCTGTCAAGCCCATGAAATCAGCGTCATCATAGCTAAAGCCTTGAAAGAAATCTGCATCACTTTGTCCAGCTTGTGCGGTTGCTTCTAATGGCAAATGAACTGCTGCCCAGGGCAAAGATGCAGAGGATATCTCTTGTTTATTGCTCGATTTGATCTTTTTTGATGATGACAATCCGCCTCTTTTCTTCATTTTGCCTTCATTCGATGGTTTCCTCGTCATGATGAAGGTTGTAACAAATTTACCATATATGCATGAAAAGAAATTCTTACGCCAATTCGAAAAAAAAAAATTATTGTACGCACGAGCCTCCTCACCCGCGCACGCATGAAAAATCTTCAAAGTGCGGCCGTCAGTCAGGGCAGGGCAGGGCTTTCACTCCTCATTCACGCATAAATAGCCGGACTGCATAAGTGACACTACGACTTAAAGTTATCTTTCCTTTGTCCATCGTCTGCGATCTTCAACAAATCTACGATCATCTAATTCACAACAAAGGAAGCGACTTTTTAGGGAACAACAATCTAACCAATCATCACAATCTCTTTCGCAATTATACAACAAACTTCTTAAACGCTGCTATACATTACCAAGCACTTTCACAATGCGGGAGGTTTCCAAAAAGATGGCTGCTGATATCGCAGTATTTGCACTTAGTAATGTTGCATTTTACTTTGCATTCAAAGCGATCATGCGTTCTCTTGATCCTAATAGACAAAAACGAGCAGATGCAAAGAAGCAGAGCGATGAAAAGTTACACCGTCTTGGCGTTCGAGGAGAAGCATTGAATTTGAACGAATACGAAGAACAGATTGCAAGCGAATTGATTCTACCTTCACAAATCAATGTTGACTTCAACTCAATAGGTGGATTGGATGGCATAATAAGCTCTTTACAAGAAAGCGTGATTGCACCTCTATGTTATCCCGAATTGTTTGCTAATGCAAACGGTCGAAATGGCCTACTTGGAGCGCCAAAAGGAGTTTTGTTGTTCGGTCCGCCAGGTACAGGAAAGACTATGCTGGCAAAAGCTTTAGCAAAAGAGAGTGGCGCAACATTTATTAATATGCACGTTTCAACCCTTACCAACAAATGGTTTGGCGAATCGAATAAATTGGTTGCTGCTTTATTTAGCTTGGCACGAAAGTTGCAACCGAGTATCATCTTTATCGACGAAATCGATAGCTTTTTAAGAGAGCGTGCAACTGGCGATCATGAAGTGACTGGAATGATGAAAGCGGAGTTTATGACACTATGGGATGGACTAACATCATCAACGGATCGAATCATGGTCTTAGGCGCGACTAATCGACCTACAGATATCGATGCAGCAATCTTGCGAAGAATGCCAAAGCGATATGCTGTCCGATTACCTGATCCTGATCAAAGGCGCAAAATATTAGAGATCATGCTTGCTGACGTTCGATTGGATAAACAATTCAGCATTGATGCGGTTGTCAAAAGGACAGAAGGTTTTAGCGGAAGTGATCTCAAAGAAATTTGCAGAGGAGCTGCAATGCAACCTGTTCGTGAATTCATACGAAGCGCTGAAGGTAGAAAGCAAATTGAAACTGTTTCAAATAATCGTAAAAACGAAATGTCCGATTCAGCACCACACGATCCGATCATTCAAGGCAAAAGCGTAGAAACACGGCCTATACGAAACACTGACTTCTTTGTCGTTGAGAGTGTTACGGACTCTAATTCTCGTCATGTTCAAGAGGCCCTCGATTGAAGAAACATCAATTTCTTTATAATAGAATGCAAGCGAGCTATTGTATACTAGAAAGAGTCTTAATCAATTTTTCTTACAAGTCTAGATGATGTGATGCAAGCATGAATTGTGAAGTATACAGGTCAGAAAGTGAAAAGTCTATAGAGATTGATACAAGGTTAAAGATAGAGATAATGTTGATATGCTGAATAATATGTTGAAATTGCAAAGGAATAGTCAGATAATCGAAAGAATTATTTTTGGGGTTCGGAAGATGAAAGTTGCAGGTCTCCTTCACGATCTCTCATGTGGTGCATCAATCGTTGATCTTGCCGTTGGTGCGCTTTGACTTTCTTGATCTGGGGTAACTTCGGAATCATGAGAATGTTCAAGCGCAATGGCTCTATCTTCCAGATCATTTCGTCGATGCTTCTCATACATTTCTCCGTCAGTGCTATTATAGTGATCCACGTCCATACGATTGCGACGTAGGAAAGGCATGAAAAGATCATAGACGGTCAAAAAGAAGAGATAAATGATCGGCAAAGCGGTAACGACCAATAAAACGAAAGCGACAATAGCTCTTGGGATCGTTCGAATGTTTGCCGAAGGAATGAAGACCACGCAAACAGCCCAAGCTGCAATCCTACTGAAGCACAGTAGAATTAAGACGAAATCCGATTTCTTGTCCCTTCCTACCCGGAAGATGCACAAGATGAGGAAGAGCAAAACATCGGTGACCAATAATCCGATCGCTTGTCGAGTTCCATGTTGTTGTGCAAATGAGATAAAGCAAGCACGAATGAATGCGAATAAAAGTAGAGCCAAACTGAACCAATAGAATTTTTGACGATAAGGATGCGATAGATGGCCCCATCGTTTTGCCGTTTTGGTACCATGAGCAGGCGCTTTGTCATGATATAAAACTGCAGAAGTAGATCGCCTTGCACGAATGATCATCGGAACAAACATGATTGCTGTGAATGCTAAGATGATGACAGTCATCAAAGCTGCTACCAAATGACCAACCCAAGAATCTCCATCAATCCATTGCCAGAAAGCAAAAATGAAAAACACGGGAAAGACGATCAAAAGATAACGTCCCAAAGTGGGCAAAATGACAGTATTGAAAAACTCCGAAGGTTTTGTGACCCGGTGAGACCAATGCGATAAATTTCTCGTTAAGCCTTTCCCCTTATTCCTCCTATCGGTCAATAAACGAACGGAGAAAGCGATTAAGTAGGTCAAAATAAGAGCACCTACGCAAATTGCCAAAAGGATCGCCATTGAAACTAAAACGGTCAAAAATGCATTGCTAGGGGCAACGTAATTACGTTCGGCAAATGTACCGATACCGCCATTGACACTTGTTTCGTCTCCTGATACCAAAGGAAGTGCGACGCCCTGTCCACCAGTGATCAAAGATCCTCCTGGACCTGTATTGGGGGCGTACTGTTGACGTTTGAGAAGCGAAAGTTTTGCTGGATCGTAAATTTGTGCATGCGATGAAGAAGGTTGAAGTATTGAAGGAGAAACAGATTGTGCAAAATTGGACAACTTATTAGCCATATCATCGCTTGCTTTGAAAAAGCCCAAGGATCCTATCGAGAGCGATTTTCCCAAACCAGAAGAAGAGCCAGAAGATTGCGATTCTCCTCCGTTGAATGGATTATATTTTCTCCCGATTTCCGCCGTTAGATTTTTACCAAAAACGGCTTGATCATGACCGCCAGTATTTGATCTGGTCTGTGTAATGGAAGATTGCAAAGAAGGAATATCGACCAATCCTAGGGACCAAGCAAAATTTGTTCCATAAGACAAGAACACGGTGGGATAATTGAGCGAAAGGAAGGAGGTGATTGCAGGATTCTGTATTGCCCACATTACATCCACAATTCGCCATTGTGCTGCACCTATACTTTGAGCAATGACGGTATGCAACAAAGAGCTGAACAAAGCCAAAAGTGCTAATCCAACAGTTGCCCATAAGACTCCACTTTGCTTTGCGGTATGACCGTTACTGAGTGTTGCTTGAACGCATCCTACGACGTTATTATTTGAAGTATCATTCAATTGCAAAGTTGCAACTGCTTCTAAATCGGGAATGGTATAGGCAATAGTGGGAATTTGATCGGAGAATTGTTTTGGAACGGGAAAGATACCACCACCGCTAAATTGATATTTTGGCAACGGACAAAGGATTCCACCTGCTAAAGAACATAAATCGATATTCACATTGAATAATCCTAAGCCATATGCATTCACACTTAATGCAATGGAAACGTTTAAATTATCTTGAATAGAAGCTGCAGAGAGATCGAATTCCAAAGTTGAATTTTCCGGGTAAAAGCGCAAAGACAGATCGGTAACCAAGATTGCAATCGGAGGGCTGCAATAAGCAACTGAAGAAGTATACAATTGTTTAGTCTGACCAACGGAAGCTGTTGTAAAAGAAGTGAGAGTTGCCAAGCTGCACAACAAACAGATCAAAAATTGATTGTAAACCCGTTTCAACATCATTTTGAATATATTTTCTTTTTAAAACGACATGAACGTTGATCGAGGTTTTTTAAAGCAGCAATGATTGCTGCAAAGCAGAAATGAAAGCGAGTTGATGGTCGTCGTTAAAGAAAAGGTGACACTTATAATGGAGTAACAAAGCCGAATAGATGACATTGACGACAAGAACTGACTGCATACAATCTCGTCATCGTTTTTTTTTGTTCGCTTGCATATCAATCAGAGCAGCAACAGCAAACAGCACCCTTTTGTTCGAATAATTAAAATCTTCCCGCATCAAAGTACCAGTAGTCACAGTCAAGCTAATGCATGAGAAAAGGAAGAAACTGGCATCACATCCGTCTTTAATGCAATTACATCATAGATTGATTGGACGTGCTTTCTTGTTTATAAACAATAAAAATTAAAGGCACGCCAACAGTCACAAAACATAAGAACGCGCAAATCAAAGCCAAGGCAAAAAATCTCAAAGCCACAGTCGGCTGAATTTCGCCGTTTAGATGCATGCTGCTGCTATGCTATAATTAAAACATGATTATCAGAACATGAGAACAAAAAAAAAGGCCTTTCTTTGCTTATGCCCTTTATATGTTATCGGTACAATGCTATACATACACTCATCGTGACCGTTTCAGGTATCATTTCATCGGACTAGGCTTGGCACTGGCTGCTTGTCTTGAAGATCTTGTTTCACGGGGACTTTGCCACATAGAATGAAGTGAAGCATCATTCTTTGGAGTGGCAGGCGCTGTTGCTGATCCGTTTGAATCCTTCTTTCTCTGTTTTCCACAATGTTCTTGTAAGCGTTTAAATGATTCTAGGGTATACTTGAGCCATTGAGGATCCTTTGAAGACCATTCTGAACGCTTACGATTAAATGGAAGATCGTACATTTCTGCTTGCTTGGAAATTGTCGTCATGGAATTTGCTGATAGTTTGCTCAATCGATCAAACTGATGAAGTGTTGCAGGTAAGCATAATTCATCTTCCATTCCTTCTTTAAGATCATCCGTCATGCCGGCCAAATGCGAAATCACACCAGTCGTTAAAGCACGATCAGAATATCCTCCTTCCAAAACGCTCATCAATTTACCATCGCAAAAGTTCTCGGCCAATCGAACTGAATCACGGGTGAATATCGTGTAAAACTCGGTTGGAACATTCTTGCCATGCCGTTGCATCCCTGGCGTTTCATGTACACAAGCATCAAAGCCAGCTGAAATGATCACCATACTGGATTGTGATGTAGATTGTGTATTCTCAAAGAATTCTTGGGCTTTCTTGATTAAATCTTTGTATTTTTTCTCATATGCAGAGAGGAATTCATCACGATTGGCATGACAATCCAGGTGAATATTCCAAATCCACTGTCCATGTCCACCTTCCAATCGAATACTTGCATCGGATACTTTTTGTTTATTTCCGTCTTCACATGGGAAACTTTCGATATCGTGCAAGGAGCCATAGAACATTTTGAGTCCACGTCTGCCCAATAATGTTGACCAGCGATCTTCGTGCTCGTCAGATTGGTCCATACTTTCGTCTTTTCCTATCTCTTGATTGGAACTTGGTATGGAATTGTTTGGTTTTGGCTCAGATTTCACTTTATCAATCGGTTTTTTAGCATTTGGTGTGCCTGTTTTATGCTTTCTTTCTCTACTCTTCTCTTCCGCCAAAATTGCACTTTTCCTAGCTTCCCGATCTGCATCCAACCTAGAAGTCTCTTCATTGATTCTCCAGACAATCGACTGTGTTCCATCACCATGATGCAAATCAAAATCAAGTATTGCGATTCGATCAATACCATGTTTTGCGTACGCCTCAGCTGCTACAACAGCCACATTGTTCACCCAACAGAAACCAGACGGATTTTTTGATGAGCAATGATGACCAGGCGGTCTTGCAAGCACAAAGGCTCTACGACCAATTGAGCTTGGAGTCGAGCGATTGACCGAAGATTTCGATAAATGTAAATCTGAAAGATCAACTGAAGTAACATCAGACATTTCCAAGTTACCAGTCATTCCACGTGAATGTTGAACAATTCGATCTAATGCCATGCAACATGCACCGAGGGATGCTTCAATTGCTCCTTGTGAGCCTTGTCGAAGTAAATCCACTTCAGATAATACTCCTCTCCCGCTTTCTATCTTTGGGTTGTCAGGCATTTCAAATGTGTATCCCGATGTATGCGATTGATTTTGCAGGTTGTATGCAATAAAGGGTTCATTTTCATGTTGCGGAGTTTGTGGGTCGCTCTTTTCCAGTTTGTTCTCTTCAGTGCTCACGAGAGATTGAATTCCGCAAAGGTAAAGGTCTCCCTGAGGAAGATGGCTTGGAATTTCGCTGGGAAAGCTACCGTCTGAAAGAAGGATAGGATTCTCCTCCTTCTCTTCTTCAGACAATAAATCTTGTTTGCGTGAAGGACTCATTACGTTTTGCCGTGCGAGGTGGCTTATGTCTGCCGCTTTGGGCTCGCGATCTGGAGCGATTTGACATAAAATTCGAAGATAATCTAGGTACGATAGATTGGTCCGAGGCCATATTTGCTGCATAGAGGATAGGCTGGCTTGTCGTGCGACAGAGTAAGCCGGTTCGTCTCCGATTTCGTCCAATGTCACTGATCCCTCTTCGCATCCATGCACAGACAGTAAGCCTTTATTTGGATTCGCCAGTGAGACCTTCGATCGGGATATCAGGGCTTGTATAGAGTTTGTACTTTTTCCAAAAGATTGTGCGATTGAAACAGAGGCAATGCTATCTGTCAATGCGTCTACCTTTTGATCTTCCGCTATCGATTCGGGATGCGACAAATGTTCGAAAGATTTTCCTATTAATGCAGACAAACCTAAAAGTGAAGCTCGCAATCGTTCCGGTCTTTCTACAATGTATGCTGTCGATCGAGAACGGACCCATCTGTGACCTAGAACTTCTGGAGCAATGTATACGTCAACATCGTGCTTATTATTTGCTAATTCTTTAGTTGCCGATACATCTTGCGACTTTACATTAGAGTCTCTCTTTGCAAGTGAATCATTCTCTATACCTGCTTTTGCGAAAGCTTCAACGAGATCATCCATTGTAGGCCATCGCTATTGAGCATGAGACAACAATTACCTGCATTAGGATTGACGTTTAATTTTCTTATTCCCCCGCTTTGCGTTTGTATAGAATTCATTAGGCGCAGAAAGGCACTTTGGCAGTCATAATCTTCCGCTCGCCCTCTTTTTTTGCTTGCGCCGGTGCCTGCGCGTTAAGATGAAATTATACATTACATGACAAAACACTTTACCGTTCTCTCGTCCATCGTTGTTGATCCATGTCTTCCTAAAGAGATGACGAAACCTTCAAGCGTTTGGCCTACGCCAAGCCAGTACGGCTGGTTACGCAGAGACGACAGTGATGCGAATTATAACACATCCAGCTCTGCTTTACCAACAGGAGCAAGTCAAATATCCGGACAGCCACCTCCAACTTCTACCGGCTCACCTCGTGATCCTCTTTTGGCAATCATGCCAGATTTCGCTTTTTCCATGCCAGCTCAAATCATTGTGGGAGGTGTGAATATTGCGCTTACAACGATGCTGACCATTCAGTTAATCTTCACCATGCAATATCATTATCCGCTTAGCAAAAGAAATTATATCCTTCAATTTTGCAGTACATTGATTCTACTCATCTCTTTGGCCGTTCAATTACACTCAATTTTGAGTGCATTAGAACATCAAGTACACGGATGGCCGTACATGTTTGCTTATATAGCCGTTCAAATACCACCACAAGACGGAAGTTGGACAATCGTTCAAGAAGCTTTCTTTTTGGTCATGCGCGCTGTTTCAACATTCTTTATTCATTTGACCCATATCCAATTTTTAACGCTTCTCTTCCCTTCAGCTTTAGAGGCAAGATTGATTTTGTGGATGTTAGGTCCTTTAGCTTTAGCTGCAAGTGGGATGGAATTCACTGCCCTTTCATCGGATGATGACGTGAAAACATCTGATTTAGGCGATGCAATTCGAAATATTTGCAATTCAACATTGTTTCTTCTTTACACGTCCGGACTCCTCGTCTGGGGATTGTTGGTTAATAGACGAAGGGCTTGGAGAACTGATGGAGGTACGGCGGCTTTTGGAGGAGGAAGTGTTGGATTGGCATTTATCAATACGACGGTCAGTTTTGTCGAAATCGCTTTTGATCGTCTCTGGTGGTTACCCGACATTTTGTGGACCTTAACGCTTTGGCAAAGTTGGCTGGGATTTTGGTGGTGGGTAGGCTCCGGTATGGGAATCGGAGAAGTAGAAGATCGTGTCGAACGTCAAGAACGACGAAGGAAGCGGGCAGAAAAATTGAGAAGAAAACGTGAGAGGGAGGAAAAGGCGAGATTAAAAGCTGCTGCCAAATCAAATGGTGGCAGTGGAACGGGCAGTCAAACAGCAGCTGCTGCTGTGGCTTCAAGCTTAGGAGAAAATGGCTCTGATGTCATCCGTGGTAGCATCCGTCGTATCACGTCAAGATTTTCCAATACGCCTAATGATCCTTCATCGAACAGCAACAAAACAGGACTTAATCGACGAATACGCATCAATACTGAAGGTCAATCTGGATCACCGGGTGAGGAGATTGAAATGAACCAAGCAAACGGTGCAGCTTCAGAAAGTGAACGTTTGCAATCCATTGCTATTCATAACGGACAACAAGGCGACGACGTTCGAACTGTGGCTGGAACTGGATCACAAAGCAGCGACACCCATCCGACCACATCTGCTGGTGCTACTTCAAGTGCTGGCTGGCTAAGCTCAGTGACAGATTTCATTGCCGAACATCAGCCAAATTTCATTCGCAGACGGATGCGCAGATTACGCATGGCACATGTTGCTGCCGCTCGAAGAGCTGCTACGGAACAAACAATGTTACGCGATCAAGTCTTGAATAGACAATCCGAGCCAATGGCACCAGGATTGAGGACAATGATGTTTGATAATCGAAATGCTCCACCTTCACCGTCGATGGGAAGCGGTAATGAAGTGAGTAATGTAGGAAGAAGCAACAGTCAAAGGAGAAGCGCTTTGGCTTTCCAACCTTCTTTAACGACAGATAGTTCGGGCACAGGTAGTGGAAGACAAGCTGTCATGCCTATCTTACTAGAAAATGATTCGCCTAGAAGGATGAGTGGAAGTGCAAGTGGGCCTAATAGCGTTCGTTCACTTTCTGTACTGCCAGACGGTCGTTCACCGCACTCTGACAGAAGAAGGGAGAATGAAGGTCAAGAAGATGAAAGGAGGCGTCATTCGATTCAAAATATTTCAGATGAAAGAAGAGAACTTGTGTTCGACAATGGGACCGCAGCTCATCAAGCAGATCATGATGATGAATGGTTGGACGAAGATGCGATCAGACAGCCGTCAAAGATTGAAGAAGAAGAGGAGGATGCTTCTTCTGATATTGCTCAAGATGGTGAAGCTGTCAATAATAGAACTTCTACAGCCCGCACTAATGGACAGCAATCTTGGACTTGGCGTGGTGGTCTGCGAGGGGCTCGTTTGAGAGATCATACTACATACGATGATAATGATGACGAAAGATGATTTAAGATTTGTACTTCGTTATCGGGTTGATGAATTTTTGTAAAGTGTATTTTAATGTAATATAATGCGTATCGGGTATTGTCTGTAGAATGCTGTTCGGTGACAGCTGATTTGGCAAAAGTCAAGACAAACACTTGTCTATCGAGGTCTTCAGAGGGCTGTCCGTCGGTAGAGTAGCATGTGAGGAGCAATTCTTCTGTACTGCACGCAGAAATGTATCGGAGAATTTCTCGGATGCGTCTTGGCAATTTTCTGTAAAATTGCATCCCATCAATTTGCCAAACGTGCAAGAACTTTCATGCCGCCAGTGAAAGTCAATAGTTTGTGAAACCGTCCCGTTGAGAATTTGTTTCACTCACGAAGTGGAAAAGGTGTTCGCTGAAATGTGAAAAGGCCTGTGCACTGGTCAGTGAAGGTCAAAGAAGTCAGATAGATCAATGATGAATTGGTAAAGTCTAGTCAAGAATCAAAGAGATTGACGTCCAAAACAATCGATCTAAGCTCGAAGAGCTACAGAGATGACTTGAATGCAAGATGCAAGGACTTAGACAGCTTCATTTCTGAACTATTTTGCAATTTTGTAATGACACATTAGACATCGATCGCGATACAATCGAAAACACAGGTGTCTACTTCTATGAGTGAGGGTATAGCGTTGGCTGAATCTTCATGATTATAATACAGTAAATGACTTTTCACAATTGATTACGCTTTCTGGCAGTATTCATAAATGGTCGAAGTTGCCATTCGATATCAGATTCCGTTTGTTCCACAGTACCCTGTCGGATCTCATAAGGTTTCATTTCGAATCGCGGTCCTACTTCGGCCAATTGCACTTCTCTATGACTTGTTTTAACGAAAACGTGATGACGAAAAGAGATGAAATCTCTTTGATTGGCAAAAGTCATGACCCTTTTTGCATCTTCTTTTGGTACGGGAAAGAGAAATTTTAAAATATCCCCAATTCGATTGCCCAACTTTGATTGAAAGCCATCAAAGATCAAATGAGGATACTGTTCGCTAATCGTGCTGCTTCCATGTGCTTCCACTTCATGACGTAGCGTAACATTGTGTAATGTGAACATCACAGTTGGTCCATGTGGAAAATGAGAAACGACAAGTGCGTCTGGAATACCACGATGTTCATGTATAACGATCAAATCAGTCATTGCATTACTGCGACAAGCTGCAGATAATTCTTTCATTGTATAACCACCTCTGTTCAATCTTGTAGAATTGGGTATTGCCAATCGAAATTCTTTTGCAAATTGTGATAAACGAGAAGAAGGGTCACGAGAAGTTGTGATTAAGACTTTTGGATCGTATTGACCTGCTAAGCTATATTCGTCATCCAAAGAAGTGGAAGGAGCGGATTGTGCTTCATCAAGAGGTACATCTCTGGCTAGCTTTTGCAAATCTGCCGAAGTTGAAGAGTCATTATGACCTTGTAAAAGTTCTTTTGGTATCGGTTTACCGGCTGCTAATAATTGACGTACTTTTTGTTTACGCTCGAATAATTGTTGTTCTTGCTGTTCAAGTGATTTACGATGAATGTATTCACGTCTTTCTCTTGCTTGTCTCCGAAGCATAATTTGTATTGTTTATGTTGATGGTGGATGTCATGAATGATGGTGAGAAATTGATGACAATCTTGCATGAAAGTTTAAAATTATCTCCATAAGTGATACACGTGATTTTAGTCTTTTTACCGTTTCCCGAATATGAATACGCCTTACAAATAAGAATAAGCGTACCCGGCACCCAACGAGTCGATTACAGGGTGAATCGAAAGCGCGTGCGCGAAGCGCACAGGCTTTGCCCTATAGGTGGAACACCTATAGGGCACTGACAGAGTAATGCAACAATGGACAGAGTAATGCAACAAATTTTTTTTGGAAATATAGCCACCATCTGATCATGCCGAGGAAGACAAGAACGTCGGAAAAGGCAAAGGCAGCTGCCGCAGCAGCTGCTGTAGCAGCTGCAAAAGAGCTGAGAATTGTACAGGCTGCTGCTGCGGCAGGTAAAGAAGCACAAATTCAAGCTGTGGTTAAGGAGCTTGACCCAAATGCAAGGAAACAGAATTACCGGGGTCTTGCAAAAGAGTTGAATATAAGCCCTTCCACCTTATATAGGCGCCTAAAGAAAAATCAGCAAAATATAGTCGATGGTCATAAATACATAAATACCGCATTAACCAAGGAGGAAGAAAATAGGTTGAAGCAATACATACTTGACGCAGAAGTATGGGGTATAAGCCCAAATAAGCGTGCTGTGCAATCCTTTGCAGCTGAAATCAGGGCGAAACGGGAAAATCCGCCTGAAGAGCCTATGGTTTCGCTGAGATGGGTAGATAGGTTCTTGAACAGGCAAAACCTATACACAGGGATCGCTAAACCACTTGAGGCAGTTCGGTTCGATGCACAGTAAAAAGTCATAAAACTAGCTAATTGGTATAAACGCCTAGAAGAGTAAATACATAAGCACAATGTCACCTCAACTCATATTTAGAATATAGATAAGACTAACGTTATAATCGGCCTTGGTCGTAAGGAAAAAGTCGTTGTTTCTCGGAAAAATACAGTGGTAAACAGCCGAAATGATATAAATCGAGACGGAATCACACTTATTAAAACGATCAATACTAATAGCGACTTTATCCTACCATTTATCATCGGAAAAGGATCGACTGTCATAAATAGATAGGTACGAGCAGGGCCTGATGCAGGGTAGGAAATACGGGCTACACCGACCGGGTATATAGATGACCACCTTATAATAGAGTGGCTTAAGTACTTTATTATATATACAACGGATTTACGTGCTAGGCAGCCTACTTTACTGATTTTGGATGGTCACGGTAGCCATACTATATTTCCGTTCTGGTTTCGGGCCCAATAAGTGAACATATACCTATTTACGATACTACCATACACCACACATATTTACCAGCCCTTAGATATTGCTTTGTTTTAGCCGTTTAAGATGTATTACCATAATGCAATTAATCATATAAACTTACTTTCTGTAAAAGACATAAACAAGGAAAACTTCTTAGTAACACTTACCGGTATACATAATCAAGCCTATACCCCGCAAAACGTGAAATCAGGCTTTCGGCAAGCTAGGATTTGGCTATATAACCTATAAATTATACTTTATAAGCTTTTGCCGCAGCAAACAAACCGTGAAAGTACACCTACACCTGATGTAAGCCTAGAAATCGACCCACAAACCCCATTTACGCCTACAAGGCGTGGCAAATACCTTCTTAAGCATGTTGGCACACCGGAAACATCTCCTAAGTTACACAAATACCAGGCATATATCGACACATGCTTACAAAATGATCAGCCCTTTGATCAGGCAATCCTGAGCAAGTACCTGCGTGGCTCAATTGCCGTATGTGTTACAAGTGAGCTGATGCACCAACGCCTAGATGTACAAGCACAAATACGCTCAATGCAAGATGAACAAGCAAGCGAGGGCAAAACCCAGTGCAAGCTTGGTGGTATTTTAAACCCAAGCCAACTTCGTATGATCTCAACTAAGCGAAATAAGGCTTACAAAGCTAAAGTAATATCTACAGCACAAACTGCCTACAAGGAGCTTCTGAAAAGTAGAAAATTCACTAGTACATTTGATCAATTTATTGAGCATCAAAAAGTGTCAGGCGCAGTTGCTATTCGGGCTGTTCAAGCTCTAGATGACTCACAAAACATGGCAAATTTACTTATGCAGCAAAGACTAGAAGATAGAGAGAGAAGGTTAGCAGCAGGTCCATCTCATCACCGTCATATTGGCATACAATGTTAATGAAATCATGATTTTTTCCACTCACAAATTTTTGTTGCATTACTCTGTCCATTGTTGCATTACTCTGTCAGTGCCCTATAGGTGTTCCACCTATAGGGCAAAGCCTGTGCGCTTCGCGCACGCGCTTTCGATTCACCCCTGTAATCGACTCGTTGGGTGCCGGGTAAAGGTAATTTTAGCAGAGGCACACGCTATATAATAGAATATAGACTTGATCACGAGAAGGATGGCTAGCTCATCTTTTTGATCATGACCAATCACCTACACCTATATTGAAAGGAAGAATCAGTAAAGTCGACGCTCTTTCGTTCAATCGTTCACAATGTTCATCACTTCCATCTTACGTACTTCACGTACAACTTATCGTGGTGCACGCGGTTCAGGAGCAGGAAATTCGTCAAAGACATCTGCTCGATCTTCTCCTGCTTCTCGTTCAACATTAACACAAGCAGTACAATCAGGTAACGTCTTTAAACGGTCTCAAAGAGGTTTATACGATAGTTCCGTTTTGCAAACCGGAAATAGCATTCCTAAATCCATTCAGAAAACTTTGAGGAATTGGAAGCCAAACGTTCAAAATAAGTCTTTACGTAGCAACATTTTAGACACCGTCATTCAAACAAGGGTAACATCAAGAGCCCTACGTACTATCTCAAAGTATGGCGGCTTAGATGCATACCTTCAACGCAGAGACGATAAGCATCTAGTCACATTTGGAAGAACGATTCGAAGCGCAATAGCAGCCACAGTTCGCGAAAGACAATTGCAAGGACCACTTTCCGCTGAGGAGAGTTTCCAGCATGTTCAACGGACAGAAGGCCAAAAGCAACTTTGAGAAGATCATTTTGCTGTGAATCTTATATTTGTATTTGTACCAATAATGGATGAAGTCATTCTTGGAAAGCCGAAAGGATGTAGCTCTGAGAACGATATAGTGTTTGATACAAGAAGGAAATTTGGCTTGGATAAAAGTACAAATGATTTTGTCTCTAGATGATCAAAATTACAAACTAACTTCTGGTTTGACGATTGACATTCCTGCGAGCGATCAAAAATAGGCGTTTCTACTTGTGACCTCTTGTAAAACGATGTGGACAGCGTTTACAATTAATTGCAATCAATGTTGTGTGATAGCGTGAAAAAGGAAATGTATGCTTCTGGTTGAATGTGAAGTGGATCTTGAACGAGAAGAGGATGATACTGGTTGAATGAGAGGCTGCTTGTTGAATGCGGATGAGAAGAGGCCACCAACAGTCTCCTCTTACTCCGCCGTCATCATCTTCTCCTAATTCCTCCGTCATC